GGGACAACGATAGGTATGTGTGTGTGTTAGCATCGTGGAAACCAGAGTTAACTGGCTCGATTACCATATTTTTTAGTATGGTAATTGGAACTGTCTGACAGTATACATGGGCTAACTTACTTTAGGTAATTTTGCCTAGAAGGACGATAAAAACATCCTTAAATAGAGAATATTTTCACTTTTGTATAGACTGTTAGCTTTGAATTTAAAAACACAAGTACTTAACCAGTTAAATGGATCAAGTATTACCTTTCACTAAGCAGAGTATGCTAGTATTATCTAATGAGGTCATTAGGGATTTAATAACAGAAGAAAGATATAAGAACATCATTTAACGTTGTCGTTTATACAAGCATTTGCTTTCTTAATGCTTATCATCAACTAGTTACAAATAAAACAAGTGATTTTGTTATTGTTAAGTTTAATTATTGTAGTGGTTTTCCTCCTTTCTTTGATAAATTAACATCTCTGTTGATATGATTATTGTTTGTTCATTAAACTGAAATATCAATTTGTTTTTTATTTACTTTATCGTAAAGAAAAAGCTAAAAGATCTTAGGAAATAATTAAATTGATATTAAAATTTTTAAATCTAAAGAACTATGGTACCTTTTTTACTGCCATACCTAAGTATATGGAGGTATACTACGTGTTTTCTGATCTATTAAAATATTACATGTTTCAAACTTTCTGTACATACAGCATATGTAATCTTTATACAAAATGTTGTCAATAGAATCACTAAGTTTCTTGTGCTCTAGTTAACTACTAAACAGGACCATTCAAACAACATCACATGCACTCACTTTCTTGTTGGGAAAATTCGTGTAAAGTAAAACTAGACAGTAATCTTTTTTTTCACATTCAGGTCAGGTGATATCTCGAAGATATATCCTCTCATATTTTGCGATTGAATGCCCACCAATCAAGTGGGTAGTACCTGCAACCTGATTAGAATAGCATTATTGTTTCATGTATATAATGTTTCAAACAGTACTAAATATACAGCTAATTTAAATTCAGCATATTATTTTTTTTCTGAGAGCTCTCTAGTAAAAGCGCCAGAAATACGCATGTTGATTTTGTTTTTTCATTGTTGAATAAAAAAATGTTTGACTGTGTTTAATCTTTTTTTTTCGCTTTAAGCTCAGCCGAGGTAAGATAATTCATATTCACTCAGTCATATATTTTCTGTAAAATCCGTCTGCCATTCTGCTGTTTCTACCAAATTATTCTTAAAAGGAAATAAGTGCACCTGAGCATGCTCTAGAATAGGTAGAAAGGAGAACATTTGGTGCTTTAGTCTCAAGATTTGTTTTCAAGAGTTTTTGCACGTGCCCTCTGAACTCTTGTCTTATTGAGTTGAAGCTTTTTTCTTAAGGAAATTACATTTTACACAAGTCAAAGGAATTATGACCAAGAGAAAAAGTTAGCTTCTGAGGCTAAATGGCTGTCAAAGAAAGTTTCTGATCTGAGAAAAACCTCCTCCTGGACATCAGATATTTAGCAATGTTATGAGGGTCCATGACTTGTTTCTCATTGTGGATGCAGATTCAGGAACGAGAGCTGATTGGACCTGGTGCACCCAGAATGGCCAATCGGGTTTTAACCTCACTACTCAGAAGGCACTGGATTAGGGAAGTGTTATCATTGGTACACGATGGAGTGGAACGTGTGGAAGTGTATGCTAGTCATATACTCATGAATCGTGAATACTGAAATTGCACAATGAAGAAAGAACTGTTTACAGATGTGATCTTGGTAAACCTACCGACGCTAACTGTATGATAGAAAGCTCAATTTTAAGGTGGACAATGCACCACTGAAGTGATTTATGAACTTTAAAATCTGGAAGGGATGATTACACATTGGATCACAAGATTGCTGGAGTATGACCTTTTTTTTACTGTGTTCAGGCTTGCACCTTAGAAATGCTAATGTCTTGCTACATCCTGAGTCCCTGTCTAATCCTGGATATTATGTGAAAGCCAAAACCATTTCTCCTATAAAGACATTAAGCCATAAGGCCATTATCACATAATCTGTGGTTATCGACTTGTGTTGGAGCTAGTGGTTCTCAGTGCTCTTTAGACTTTAAATAATGGAAATACTGGAGACCACTAATGTGTCAAGTTCACTTGTGTTAATTTGTTATGACTGCATTCAGGTCGAGACATTAAGTAATCATGCAAAGCTGTGAGGTGTGCACTACTCAGAGGAGATGTGAACCTTAACAGTTTAAATTCCAATAGAGATTTGTTGAAGCACTTTAATAAAGAACAGTTCTGGCTATTGTTGGTCATCTTTCACAGACTGAAGAAGGAAACCAGTAAGCGCTAGTCATTATCAATTAATATATTAAGTGACCTGAAGGTTATCCATTGGTCAATACTTCAACACAGTGTGTAACTGATGTTTTGGTGAAATAATTTATAGCCTGATTCAACACATCTGAAAAACTTCATATGGATATATCAAGGATCTCATCTCAATAGCCAGCTATTCTATATGTTATGGAAAGTGTTGGGTGTGTTGAAGATGGATACTTCTCCTTTTAATTCCCAGAATGAATTCTTGGCAAAATGGGTAATACAAACTATCCAGCCAAACCGATATCTCATCATGGTTTGTAAAACACAGAACAGAGGGTGAGTGGTTGTTTGCCAAACATTCCCATGTTTATCAAGAAATACTTTCCCTTGTGAATGTGATGCATGATCCAACCCACAGAGCAGATGTTACTCTGTGTCCACCAGATTCATGGTTAAGCCTTTGATTCGGAGGCCCATCAGTAACATGGGATCTTACATTGTCGCCTTTTCCACGAGTTTATGAATGCCACTGTATGCTCTATTGCAATGAACCATATTGTCAGAGTACAAAAAAAGGAGTTCCCCAGTAGGACAGCGATAAGTTTACGTACTTATAACGCTAAAAATATTGCTTTCAGTGATTTACTTTGTACATTTCTGAACTTTTAAAATAATACGTACTTTTATAGTATATAAGAATACGTATGTTATATACCGAGCTGTCAGTTCGTATAAGTAGATGGGTATATGTGTGAAACAAATTATTTATTTAATTAATTTAGTAATCATTACTAACTAAAACACCCGTAGTTTACAGGCCTAGCAGGCTGTGCTATATGTTACACATTTTACATGTAACTTGAAATAATATTATTATACAAACTGTTATCAATTATTTATTCAAGTGAAATTACTAAAATTCAAATTCATTTCTGCCATTAATTATTCCCTTATGTTGAATATGAAATTTTATTGCTAATGTTTTACGAAATTGTAAAAAATAGTTACTATAATATATAGATAGTGACAATTGTTTTGTAAATCTTGTTCATATTTAGTTCTTAGTAAAGAAACATCTAAATTCAGTTACGGACAGTTTTCTTAGTCAATTATTATTTACAGATTTTATAAGCTCTATAATTTATCCCAAGATTCATTTGTTTTCAGATATGCACCTATTTAGGAAGCATGGTAATGTCGTTTACATTTTCCTTCGTTTGCGTACTATTTGTCGAAGCTCCGTTTATGAACCTGGAGAAGATGATAATTTCTTCGTATCTTGGTAAATGTTCGAATGAAGGAAAAGAAATCAAGAAAACAACGAAAAGTTTCAATAACTTTCAGGAATCCCGACAGAAGTCGTGAATCCTTAACGAGTTAATTAAGATCAGGTTAACGGTTGGTCAGTTGTATGTTTCATAATACTCATCAACAGAAATTATTTATACATATAGATTAATTTGGTATAACTTTAAGATTAATGTAACAAATAATACATTAAGATCTTATCTGATATACAATGTATAGAATGGACATGGAAATAGAGTAGTTATACAAAATTGCCACATATGTTAGTAAGAACCTCATAAGATAATGTAATAAATCGTATTAAATCCTTGATTAACTACTAGGCGAGACCGTAGCACATCTGAAGTATTATATGGTATTCAGTGCACTTTCTGGGATGTATGGTTAAACAAAATGATTGGTGTTTGTGTGTATATTTAGGTAATAGTTTAGTATAACTTTGTACATAATGTACAAATATAAAATATATTTATTGGAACCAGTTAACATATCAAATAAAATTTTGATTTAACGTATGCATAGCTCTTTATTAGTGTATCAAACTCATTCATTTATTGATCAAGGAATTTTAATTATCTCATGTTCAGCAGTATAATGTTTTATAGATACAGAGTAAAACAACGGATCGTCAAAAAAAGTTGCACATTTGGATGAATATCTGTGAAGGAAAATTCGGTTTTGAAATCTGGCGTTCTTTCTATGGTGGACTTGATTTGAAACAATTCCGGAGACTGAAACATTATAGTTAACAATGAGGCTGGTTTGAACTTGCTCCTCAGTGACTCGGCAATACGTATGCGGGCTTACGATGCTTAAAATCAAGTTTTTATATCCATGGTGGACAGAACCCAGATAACCCATGGTGTATCTTTGCGCCTAACAGCAGCCAAACCAATCTTTTAACCATATAATATTGGAAACCGTAAAAACAGTGAAAGAAGTCGGCTCCAAACAAAACTTGCCAGAAAAAAATAAACAACGTTAAAATTACCTATAAAAAATTAGAACAAGGTGCAAAGAATCTTTCATAATTGCTGTGAGTATTAATTAAGAATATACAGTATATTAGTTATATCTTAATGCTCCTGTAATCATAGTTTATTCTATTAAAAAACATTTACGAATAAAACTATTGCATATATAGAAGCCCCCAGTAGCACAGCGGTATGTCTGCGGACTTACAACGCTAGAATCCGGGTTTCGATACCCGTGGTGGGCAGATCACAGATAGCCCATTGTTTAGCTTTGTGCATAACTTAAAACAAACAAACAAACAAGCATATATAGATATATATACTGGCTGATACTTTGTTAGGAACAATGTACTATTTCAAACTTGGGCTTGACCATTGTTTCAGATGCAGATTAGGTTGATCACATAATGTGTCAAGTGATCCCTGCTGCACTATAAGTGGCTAAAACAAGCATATTTTCGGCTAGTCTAGCATATATGGGTAAAGGTAAAGATATTGCAGCATGATATTGGATACATGTCTAGCAATTGCTATAACAACCAAGACCGTTTTTCCGAGCCATCAGTCATTCGAATTTATCAGTAATGGTAAAGTTTGAATAAAATGTCTGCTGCAAAGGGGAACTCTGGTCGAAAACATCTGATGACAAAAATAGTAGAATGGCAGTTAGACAGAATGAAAATTTACGCCCATCTCTAGCCGTTTCTTGCGCAGAATGTTTAAAAAAAATGGACTACGACAGTAGGAGATTATTACACCAACCATTGGTTTGTTTGTTTGTTTTGAATTTCGCGCAAGGCTACACGAGGGCTATCTGCCCTAGCCGTCCCTAATTTAGCAGTGTAAAACTAGAAGGAAGGCAGCTAGTCATCAACACCCACCGCCAATTCTTGGGCTACTCTTTTACCAACGAATAGTGGGATTAACCGTCACTTTATAACGCCCTCACGGCTGAAAGGACGAGCATGTTTGGTGTGACGTGGGTTCGAACCCGGGACCCACAGATTGCGAGTCGAGCGCACTGACCACCTGGCCACGCTGGGCCCCAACCATTGGACTGAGTTACCAAAAAGAAAAAAAAAATGTCTTGAGCGGTGTAAAGAGCATATGCAGTGGACTATTAAGAACTGGTGAAAGATGACGTGGTCCGCTGAATCACCTCTTTTTGTTGCACAGATAGGAGAAGAAAGATTTAAAGAAAGTCACTACAATAATTCACGCTTCTTGTATTTTTTTCAACTGTCCAGACTTCTAATAGTGGAGTCATGGTTTGAGGCATGTTTTCCGGGCGTACTATTGGTTTCTTAGAAAACAGAATGAATGCTACAACTTACCCCAGCATCATCTATGATCAAGTGCATCCAGCGATACTTAAAATCTACCCTGATAGAGACAGCTACTTCTAGGATTACAGTGATTCCATTCACTGCGCATAAATTGTTCGTATGTGGTTTGAGGAAAATGATGGAAACATAAGGCCCCTTTCCTAGCCAGCACAATCCCTAGATCTTAATACAGCCAATCATCTGAGAGATGAAGTTGATAGATAAATTCGCCATCACTATCCTTGTCTACCTCGGTTCGTGAATATTCATGACTCAGTGGGGTGGGAACAACCAGGTACACCTGCCAGCACCTCGTGAATTCTATGCCACGTCGTATTGTGGCTGTTATTTGTGTAAAAGGTGGCCCAACCTATTACTAGCATAGGGTCTATTAAAGTGTTCAACCAGTGTATAATATAAGCCTTGATGAACAGGTTCTGTTCTGCATATCTCCGATTTTATTCGGAATTCAAAACTAATTTTTACCAACAAAGAGTAATACGAGTACAAACAAACACACAACAACTTTTCACAAAATGGCAATTATGTGTATAATGTATAAATTCTCCTTTACTTCTATAACAACTTAAACAGTAAATATAATGCTCATACCACTACTACAAGAGGTCAAGACTTGATTTTTGTCGGTACTGATGGAGGGCATAATTCGCAGAAACTCAGTCATACCGTTGTGCCACTGTGGGGTTATAGACATTGTAATGTAGTTGAACATAAGAGGATGCATTTTTTTCTCTAAACTTACGTACATCAAGCATGCTGCTAATTTAAGAAATACATAAACTTGTTTATGAGCTTCATACCCTTTTAATACTACTTACAACTGTTTTGTACGTTTTGTGTAAACAATATTGAACTACGAATGTCAACAACGGAGAAAAACAAAATGTAATAATTTCCACTGGCAAAGTAATATTATATATTATCATAATAATAATTAAGAATGTGGTTTTGCTTTATTCAGTTATTGGGATTTGGTAATTTGGACGTCTATTATATGTATTAATTGATATTTTTTGTTTGTTTTGAGAAATACTCTGATGTTTATTAGTTAAATGTTTAATAAGAGCCAATGATCTCAAAAGGTAGCAGAATATTATATGTTTCACGTTTACACACACACACATATATATATGCATACAAGAGAATCTTATGCATATATGTTGAAAGACGTAGAATTTTTTAAGCAGAAAACTGTTTTGTCGGTGTGCAATGTGATCTTGTACACAGCAAGTAAGGAAATTTCACCAAACACATAAAGGCTATATTGCAGTTTCATGTGTGAACGTACATTATATCTTAATTTGCACGTGTGTAGGATCGAAGGATTATGATCGTAAAAATCGAGGATCGTAAAAATTCCTTAGAAAAGCAAGTATGAATTCTTATAATTTCATTATGTTTGTCCTAACATAACATAAACGTGGTTGTCTATTTATACCAATATCTTCAATATATATAGGTCATAATTTAGTATAATTTTAAAATTAATGTATCAAATATTGCATTTAAACCTATTCCGTGTAATTCAGAATAAAATTGATAAATAATATATAGAAAGAACATAAAACAGTTATACAAAATTGCCACATCTTTTCATAAGAAAATTATAATAGAATGTAGTGAATGTAGCACATCAGAAATATTATATGGCATTTAGTACACTTTCTGGGGTGTATGGTTAAACAAAGTGATTGGTGTTTGTTGTATATTTAGATAATAGTTTGGTATAATTCTTTAATTAATGTACAAATATAAAATATATTTATTGTAACTAGTTAACATATCAAATAAAATGTTAATTCGACGTATACATATCTCTTTATTAGGGTATAACACTCATTCATTTATTGATCAAGGAATTTTAATTATCTCATGTTCAGCAGTATAATGCTTTATAAATACAGAGTAAAACAACTGATCGTCAAAAAAGTTACACCTTTGAGTGGATATCTGTGAATGAAAGCTTGGTTTTATGTCTGACAATCTTTCTATTGTGGACTTGATTTGAAAATAATTCAGGAGAATGTGATACTATAGTGAATAATAATGTAGCTCTTTTAAACATGTCCCTCAGGGACTCAACAGTTAGTCTGCAGGTTTGCGATGCTAAAAATCATGTTTTTATATCCGTGGTGGGCAGAACACAGAGAGCTCATTGTGTAGCTTTGGGTTTAGCAGTAACCAAACTAAACTTTTAAACATATATTTTCGGAAACACGGTGAAAGAAGTTGCTTCCAAACATAACATACAATAAAACACACTAACCATTGTTAAAAACACTTATAAAAAATGAGAACGAGGCGAAAAGAATCTTTTATAATTGTTGTGAGTATGAATTCAGAATATACAGTATATTAATTACGTCTTTATGCTTTCGTAATCATAGTTTATTCAATTAAGAAAAAAACGAATAAAACCACTACACATAGAAATATATATATATATACTGGCTGACCACTTTGTTAGTAGCCACGTCTCTTTTCAACCTTGGCCTTGACCTTTGTTTCAGATAAAAAAATTAGTTTAATTACATGATCTGTCAAGTGACCCCTGCAGCTTAAAGAAGATTTTGATAAGATTTAATAAGCCTTAAATGAATCAACACCCAGTGTTACTTTTGTCTCTTTTTAAGATTGGTTCAACACTATTAGTTAGTGACATTTAACTACTCTCCTTCGCAGAGCCAATTTATACTATGTGAATACTTTTGATTTACAGAATTGTCATCAGAAGGCATAATCATAGCAAGAGGAAAC